CCTTTAAACATGTTACCAAAAACTATTACAAATAAAAATATGTTGACAGTGAGCGATACAAGAACAACCTTCTACACCACCAGAGATTATTCGCTCCGTGCGCGACAGCAGCGCCAATTCGTTTTGATACTAATGGGGGATTTCGGCGTATACTGACAAATGCAACTTTTAATAGAATTCGTAATTAAAAAGTATACATGTTAGTTTTAATAAAAGTATATGGATTTGTAAAACAAGTAAAACATTAATTTATTATTATTATATATTTTTATCGCTTAAATTAAAGAAAATGATGTATAATTGATAAAAATCCATAATAAAATATAGGCAGGCAACAGTATTTACTGGAAAATGTATGAGAAGTTGCCTAAGTCTAATAAGTTTTCATTGAAGAATTAGTCTATTCTGTCAAAATACAAAAATACCATTTAATAATAGCGTGAAGTTAAAATGTATAAAAAAGGATCAATACTTATATATTCATTTTTGTTCGAAAGAAAACATATAATGAATGATTAAAACTGATTTCCCATCAGTAAGTTACAAAATTGCGTTCCAACCACATATAATAATCAAAGGCAGAAATCTTGAAATCTAGTCCTTGCTGAATGAACATTTAAGAATAAGGGATATTAAAGAACATGGTAAAATGATAATCTATTGTTGATTTAAAACCTTTCAAGTTTCTGATGTCTACTATTTGCAGCATTACGGTTATTATTACAAAAATAAAGGTAATTTTCCTTCTTATTGTATATCTATCCATTCATTTCTTTGATTTAATTTCCACTTTGCTACTGAAATTTTTTATATAAGTTTCACTGTTTTTTTTGCTAGTATTTGTACAATTTTCAACACAGTAACTCCGGTTGCTTATTGTATTGTTTTTACCTACTTTTTTTGAAAAAAAGTAAAATGTATACTTGTATTTGATATGCCAAAATTACAAAATATCCCCCTAAAATGCACGAATTATCCGCAGCTAGCGCTAGTATCGCTTTTGCTTCCCTTTCCATGACTTCGCACGGAGCGAATAGAAGATGCCAAAGCAACGTTCAACAACTTAATTCCAAAGAAAATGTATGAACAAATTTAATTTGAATTGGAGAACTCGTACCAAAATTTTTTGGAAAATTCTGTAATAACATGATTGCGCATTATTTTGGAATTTGCGCCCTCTAGCGGCTTAAAAACATGTTAGGTATTCTCCATTTCAAAGCTAATTTTATTAGTAATTTAATACGTATCATAAATTTGTTATTGTGGTTGATTGCGATTAAAGTTAAATTGATTTAATCTTAACTTTAATGACAAAAGATTTTTCAATTATTTAAATTCATGTTTCATTCAGTTATGTTTTGTTATATTGTCCATTCAATTCCTAATAAAATTTATAATACGCATTAAATTATTAATAAAATTGGCTTTCAAAAGAAGTGTCATACTTTACAATATGTAACAATTTGATTAATATAACGCAATAAAAAATTATATTGTTGAATTCCCTACCTTTTCAATAATGTATCATAATTATTGGTACATTCCCTAGTTAAAATTAAGGGAGTGAGGAAGTGGACAGAATTGGGATTGGCACATGAAAGCCTTCTATATCGGAAAAATATATCCCTTTTAAATGAAAAAGGCACTTTTTTTAAATAAATTATTTACTGACCCACTCTGTATTTCGAAGACCTAGTTGATAGAAATCTTCACACATTAAAAAAAATATATATCTGTTCAATATAAAACATGGATAAGAAGAGATTCAAATAGGGCAGGACACCATCTCCATCTGCACAACCAGAGGATGTCCACAAGTAGGAGTTCTATCCCCACTAATGTGGAGCCTAATCGTAGACGAACTTCTATGCAGATTGCCTGACCTCGGCATACCATATCAAGGTTATGCCAACGACATAGTCATATTTGCTAGTGGCAAGTTTAGTAATATCCTGGACTAGAACATACCAAAAGATGGTGCCGTGAAGTGGGACTTAGTATAAACCCTACAAAAACAATACTAGTAGCCTTTTCATGGAAAAGAAGACTCAATCTCAAAACCGTTAAATTAGACGGGATAGATATAGAATGGAAAAATGAAGTCAAATATCTAAGCCTAACCCTGGACAACAAACTTCTGTGGAACACACATGAGAAGGAAGTAGTAAATAAGGCCACAAAAGTCCTTATGGTATGCAGAAACATTGCAGGTAAACGATGGGGATGTAACCCAAACATACTGCGATGGATGTATACTGCAATAGTGAGACCAATCACTTACGGGGCTATAACCTGAAGTAACAGAACTAGTTTAGCTACTACGAGAGTTAATATCTCAAAAGTACAAAGACTAGCCTGTGTTTGCATTACTGGTGCAATGAGAACCTGTCCTACGGCCGCAATGGAGGTGATCTTAAACCTCACCCCTCAGACGAAAGTCTACTTGCTTCAGGACTAAAGATACCTGGGACATGCCCCAGGATGAAATGCTAAAGAAGTATAGTTTTGAGAAAAACTCTAAAACCACAGAGCTGGGCTGCAAGAAAGAATGGAGCCAAGAATCCATCGCGCTTGCAACCGAAAGACGTGTTATTCAGTGGTATACGGACGGTTCCAAAACCATAGAAGGAACTGGAATAGGAGTGTATGGGGCGAGAACCAAGCACTCCGAAAGCTTGGGAAAATACCCAAGCATCTTCCAGGCGGAAATTCACGCCATCGAGAAGTGTATCCAGTTTAACATCGAGAGAAACTATCATAGACAAGAGATTATCAACATGTCCGATAGTCAAGCAGCCATCAAAGCGCTGAGCTCTTACGTAATCAGCTCAAAAATGGTCTGGAGATGCCTAGAACCATTGAATGAGCTAGGTGAGAAAAATAGAGTTACTCTCACTTGGGTCCCGAGACATAACGGGGTACAGGGTAACGAGATTGCAGAGAGTCTTGCAAGGAAAGGGGCTCAAACACCCTTTGTATGACCTAAGCCGTTCTGCGGTATCAGCAGTAACATAATATTAGGAGAGATTAAAAAAGAATAGGGCAGTAGAAGAACCAATAATTGGAACAATCTCTTGGGGCTGAGACAGGCCAAGATACTTCTGGGTGAATATAACCAGAAAAGATCGGAAGTCTGCATCTGCCTGAGCAAGAACAGGCTACGTAATGTAACAGGGATCCTTACCGGGTATTGCCGACTAAAAGAACACCTAAGTAAACTGAGAGTAGTAGAGGATATTGGGTGCACATTCTGTGAGGAGGAGGACTACATTCACATCCTAACTAAATGTGTAGCACTCCAGAATCCAAGGGCACTATATCTAGGAGGATATCAAATAGAAGAGGGAGATTTACCTAACTTGAAGCCACTTCAAATCCTACACTTCCTTGAGAAAATAGGATTGGAAGGGTCGTTATAGGCATTGAGACATTTCCTTAGTGCATTGGCGACAGAAGGAGGCACAATAGATCTTTTAGGTCGCAGTGTATTAACACCCCATTATCAACATAACATAACCTAACATGGGTAAGAATAAAGGAAAAGTGTTAATTTGAATCTTATTGAATAATCATATCATTTGAAAAAATTGAAAACCTTTTGTTTTCATAAAACATCAAATTGATATCTCCAAATATACATATATATATATATATACCAAATTACAAGCACCGAAGAGAAGATCGGAAAGCTACAGAAGAAAAATATAAAATATTTACTTTAAATAAAAAATAAATAAAAAAATTTATTACTGGTCGTAGAAAAAATTGCGTTTGCCAGTCTCATGAAATGGACATTAGGATGCTCTCCCTTGGATCAAAAACGTTCCTTAACAATTATTATTATAAGAATTAAAAAGCACACATATTTAAGTACACCTTATTAGTAATTTATTTTGGTTATATTATTCTTAAACTTTTTTGTTAAATAGTATATTATGTAACAAGAGTTGTAAGTAACCCATTACGAACGAAGTGAAAAAGTTTACACACGAAGCCGCGCAGCGGCGAGTGCGTAAATTTCTCGAGTGCGTAATGAGCTTACAACTCGTGTAACGTACTATACTTTTTCTACGCCCACTTAAAACATTCTCCGAAAAGGATTTAGCGTTATGCTTGTGCCACCAATCCATACATTTTCGATAGGTTATTTCGTACCTTTCTTTGGATTTTAGCGGTAACAAATTATGTGTGGCAACTTGAGCTTTTTGCTAAAATCTCCGGTGGAGTGCTTTCACTACTAACAAACATACTAGGTAGAGTTGAGAAAATGTTCGGACAATAATATTTTGTTACAAAAATTAACAATATAAATGACATGACGTTTATTTCCATAGCATGCTAAGAAAACGCGACATATTTTTATAAAAATTGTATGATGTGTTGCCAATATTTAGGAGTATCACTCTTTTAATGCAAAATGTATCTCGCTAATGCTGAAAGGTTTTATATTTTTTAATTGACTAAATTTATGTAAATAGACCAAATAAAGTCTTTCAATTTGAATAAACTAAGAAATTTAAGATTTCTTATCAAAACGCACGTGCATGTTATTGTTAAATGTCATTTACAAGGAATGTTAACAGTGCGATTTTTAACGTTTACTGACAAGGGCGTAGAAAAATTATTTACCTATGTTATATGAACGGATAATTTGGTCTTTGGACTGGGGTGAGAGGTTATAATGCACATTTGTATATTCTACCCGGTTTCTGAGTACAACTGATTTTTAAATATTTATAATACAAAAACTTTTTTAGTTTTCATTACTGCAATGTACTTATTTCAAAATTGACCTATTCACCTTGTAAGAAAACGGTTTAATCCAATATTTCGCTTATTTTTTAATTCATTAATAAAAAAAAAATACACAGAGAGTAATAATTTAAAGCCGGTTGCAAGAAAGATTGTTAAAACCTCTCAGTAGCTAATAAACCCGTAACTTTATTCAGATTAATACTTTAAAATTCATATTTTATTATTTCCTATATTTAATAATTATGTTTTCTTTTTCAGCGTCTGTAAGAAATTTTGGAACACGAGTTGGCGAGTTCTTCTCCAGAAAGAAAAGGGATGTGAATCAAGAAGCTGAAAATATCGAAAACGCTACTGAAGCACATGTTCAGCAAGCAAAAGATGAAGTGGAAAAGGACATCCACAATGTGTCACATAACATTGGTAAAAAAAAATTGATAATAAATGGTTCTTTATTTAGAAAACGACTTTGGAGACTGTACCAAACTATTTTCTTCAACAAATTTGTCCGTTTCATTGAAAATATTCTGAAGTATTTTTTTTTGTAGCTGAAGGTGCCAAAAACACTAAAAACGCGATCAATGAAGAATTGAATACAGCAGGAAAGAAAGTCAACGAAACCGCCCAAGGCGCGCATGATATCATCCAAGAAAAAATCATGAGTACTGACCGAACCATTAACAACAAACTTCAAGAAGCAGACAGCGCCTTAAAGTCCACCTCACAATCAGCTGACAAGAAATGGAAAGACACTGAAGCCCAAGTAGCTGCCAGAGTAAAAGAAACAGAAGAATTTGCTGAAGCCAAACGTAAAGAACTAGCTGACAGTTTGCGCAATGTAGGACAGAATGCAGATAATCAAATACATCAGACTGGGCAAACTATCCAACAAGGAGCTAACAACTTAGCACAAAATATAGATAACAAACTGAATGAAGCTGCTCACGGCGCTGAAGCTAGAAGAAAAGATCTTGCTGCGGATATACAACATTACGGACAAAATCTTGAACATAAAATTCACGATGTAACAGCTGCAGCTGAAAATAAAAAACATGAAATCGTTGGTGAAACCCAAAATCTAGCTAGAAATATCGATCAAAAACTAGCTGAGACTGCAAATGCTGCTGAAGCCAAAAGAAAAGACATAGTCACAGGTGCTGAAAATTTAGGCCACAATACCGCTAAAGGTATTAATAATGCCATGCAGAATACCAAAGAAGGATTTAAAAACGTTGGAAAAACAATTGATAATAAATTACAAGGAGCTGCTGATGACGCTGAAGCTAAAAAGCAAGAATTAGCATCAGGAGTTCAAAATGTAACACAAAAAACTGTAGAAGGGGCTCAAAACGTAGCTAAAAATATTGACAATAAATTAAAAGATACTGCAGATGCAGCTGAAACGAAAAGAAAAGATTTGGTATCTGGAGCCGAAAATTTAGCCCATAATACAGCCAAAGGTATTGATAATGCAGTTCATAGCACCAAAGAAGGGGTCCAAAATGCGGCACAAAAAACTGTAGATGGAGCTCATAACATAGCTAAAAACATGGATGACAAATTCAAAGATACTGCAGATGCAGCTGAAGCCAAAAGGAAAGACATAGTCACAGGTGCCGAAAATTTAGCCCATAATACCGCTAAAGGCATTGATAATGCCGTGCAAAAAACCAAAGAAGGATTTCAAAACGTTGGAAAAACGATTGATAATAAATTACAAGGAGCTGCTGATGCGGCTGAGGTTAAAAAGCAAGAATTAGTGGCCGGAGTTCAAAATGTAAAACAAACAACTGTAGAAGGGGCTCAAAACGCAGCTAAAAATATTGACAATAAATTAAAAGATACTGCAAATGCAGCTGAAACGAAAAGAAAAGATTTGGTATCTGGAGCCGAAAATTTAGCCCATAATACAGCCAAAGGTATTGATAATGCAGTTCATAGCACCAAAGAAGGGGTCCAAAATGTGGCACAAAAAACTGTAGATGGAGCTCATAACATAGCTAAAAACATGGATGACAAATTCAAAGATACTGCAGATGCAGCTGAAGCCAAAAGGAAAGACATAGTCACAGGTGCCGAAAATTTAGCCCACAATACCGCTAAAGGCATTGATAATGCCGTGCAAAAAACCAAAGAAGGATTTCAAAACGTTGGAAAAACGATTGATAATAAATTACAAGGAGCTGCTGATGCGGCTGAGGTTAAAAAGCAAGAATTAGTGGCCGGAGTTCAAAATGTAAAACAAACAACTGTAGAAGGGGCTCAAAACGTAGCTAAAAATATTGACAATAAATTAAAAGATACTGCAAATGCAGCTGAAACGAAAAGAAAAGATTTGGTATCTGGAGCCGAAAATTTAGCCCATAATACAGCCAAAGGTATTGATAATGCAGTTCATAGCACCAAAGAAGGGGTCCAAAATGCGGCACAAAAAACTGTAGATGGAGCTCATAACATAGCTAAAAACATGGATGACAAATTCAAAGATACTGCAGATGCAGCTGAAGCCAAAAGGAAAGACATAGTCACAGGTGCCGAAAATTTAGCCCACAATTCCGCTAAAGGCATTGATAATGCCGTGCAAAAAACCAAGGAAGGATTTCAAAACGTTGGAAAAACGATTGATAATAAATTACAAGGAGCTGCTGATGCGGCTGAGGTTAAAAAGCAAGAATTAGTGGCCGGAGTTCAAAATGTAAAACAAACAACTGTAGAAGGGGCTCAAAACGTAGCTAAAAATATTGACAATAAATTAAAAGATACTGCAAATGCAGCTGAAACGAAAAGAAAAGATTTGGTATCTGGAGCCGAAAATTTAGCTCATAATACAGCCAAAGGTATTGATAATGCAGTGCATAGCACCAAAGAAGGGGTTCAAAATGCTGCGCAAAAAACTGCAGAGGGTGCTCAAAATGTAGCTAAAAATATTGACAATAAAATAAAAGACACTGCAAATGCAGCTGAAATAAAAAGAAAAGAATTAGTATCTGGAGCTGAAAATTTAGCTCATAATACGGCAAAAAACATCGATAATACAGTACAAAACACCAAGGAAGCAGTTCAAACTGTTGGGAAAAATATTGGCAACAAACTACATGAAGCCGCTGATGCAACTGAAGCAAAAAAACAGGAATTAGTTTCCGGTATTCAAAATACTGCAAACAAAACAGCTGAAGGAGCTCAAAATGTAGCTAAGAATATTGATAACAAACTTAAAGAGACTGCAGATTCAGTTGCAGATAAAAAAAATGAGTTAGTTGCAGGAGCACAAAACGTAGCTAAAAATGTTGATAATAAATTACACGAAGCCGCAGAAAAAACTGACGCTAAAACAAGAGAATTTTCGCAAGGCGTCAAAGATGTGGGACACGCAATACATGGTAAGTGTATTTTATGCATTCAGAAGAAATTTAGAATGAGATAATGTAAAATATTGTAAATTTAAAAAAAATTGGAGAGAATTTTAACATTTTAATTTAATGTAAATAAAGGAGCAATTTTTTTAATCTTTCAGACAAATCCAGTTCAGCTTTAAGTGAAGCTAAAGACAATATTAGCTCAGGTCTTCATGCTGCTGGAGATAAATTAAGCGAAACGGGCCACAATATTCAAAGCGCTTTTGATAACTCAAAGAAAAATGCAAACGATGTGGCAAATCAGAAGAAACAAGAAGTCCAGGTATGTACTTATTATTCATATCTCCTTACTACAATTCCTACACTACCCTCTAAATAAGTTCCTCCAAAATTGTATGAACCCAAATTTTTAGAAATATCCTTATGTTTTCCTGCATTGTTTCCCAAAAGTTGTACAAAGGGTACAAAGTACTTTGTCTTTGTAATATCTACAAAGTCCTTTGTCATTTCTACATATGCTTCATAATTTCATTCGTCTTTTTCAATGAACATATTTTTTATTCTTTAGAGTGGACTAAGTAGTTTCGGTGACAGTATAGATAATAAACTAGCAGAGACGGGAAAGTTTTTCGACACTAAATTTCATGACACGGCCAACTTTTTGGAAACCGCAAAACACGATCTGAAACAGGAAACAGATGAAAGTAACAAACGAGCACAAGCTGGCCTTGACGATGTCGCGGATGCCGCGAAAAATATTTTTGGAGGTGGACTGTTTTCTAAAAAATAAAAGGTAAGTTTTAAAATGGCTGCAATAGTGCACTATCCTTACAACCAGTGACGGTTGGCGCATAAGTGCCTTATAGTGCTATAGAACTGCTAAAAAAAATGCAAGTATCTCATCTACATTTCACAGAAATTATTTTAGATATTTTAAAAATACGTAAAATAAATTTGATGGATAATCTCATTAATTTTAATTTAATTTGAATTATACATGCGTGCTAACGTGTCTCACTATTATTTCATAATTGAGAATAAGTCCAGAGCGAACCAGTGGAAGACTTAACAAAAGCTCGCCAAGGCATATTCATTTCTTAGCTGGGTCGCTTCGGGACGATCTGTGCACCGCTTGGGCCTCCCGCGCCCGTCGTCTCACCTTACCCGCCTCTCTAAAAAGTAACGCCGAGACACGTAGTATTTATGCTGCATTTTTGCCAGATCGTCGAGCTTTGTTTATAGTCTGTTGGTTTTGTAGATTATTAGTTTGTTATGGATGTAGTTTATGAGTTAATAATCGAAAAGAGATTTTTTAAATACGCATATGAGTACCTATAAGTTTGCAGCTAAAAATGACTGCAGAATAGAATTCATGTATAAAAAGTAGGTGAATAAAAGCTGTAAAATAATAATTGCTTTTATTGAAGGGGAAGGCATAATCTTGCAGAACACCCAATGTCTTTAACCACAGCCGCCACTGCCTACGAGAATCTTTAGAAAACAATTAATCTTTTTTTTATTCAATTTGAGTTCATTTTTGTCTCAGTTTTTCGGACCATATCGAAAAAATTGTTAATAGTACGAGAATAATTCTGTAATAAGAGCTGCGATTATCAATAATTTTTGTGAAATGTCAGGAATGTCACGTCCAACGCCGATCTCTTGGGCTAGACAGGCTACTGATAATGATTTATGTTTTGTATCGTAAGAAGTGTGTTTCACAGTTTAGGTACTCGTTCGATAGTCGCTGCAGAGACATGCTGAAGCTGCAAGCGGCACAGACAAGATATGAAAGTAAATGAGATGCTGCTCAATCCAGTAGCAGCGTAGGAAACAGCAGCAACTAACTTAATGCATATCTTGCCCTGTCTCAGTCGTTTAAGCAAGCGACTGCTTCAGTACCAGTAAAGCTAGTTGCTACTGTCGCCTGAACTGCTACTGCATTAAACGGCATCTCATTTACTTTCATTAGAATAGTTAGTGTCTCTGTATCTTTCTTGTTTCCGTCACTTGCAGCTGCAGCATGTCTCTGCAGCGACCAGCGAACGTGTACTTTTATGATAATCCATGTACCACAGCAATAATATAACATGTGGTACCTATTAGGTATTCCAAACCATGTGACCTGCTGAAACTTAAAATGGTTATCTGATGAAACACAAACCCCATGTTTCATTTTGTTTTTGTGAAATACGGGTTAATTTTTTAAATCTTGATTGATCAAAACATCTCGATTAATTTCCATCAAATAAATATAGAATACCAAGAATATTCTGAATCACCTGATAAATATTAAAAATAAATTGGTACTATTTTATTTTCTTTTCCGTAAAAAAATATGTTAGTACATAAAATATTGTTTTGCACTCGTGTAGTGCTTTTATTGACATACTGTGAATATGCATAAATTTCGCAGTTTATGCGCAAAATCATTGTCACATTATTTATAAAGCAAAATATATGAAACTATATAATACTTAAGATAAAAATGCGTGTAAATTCTAGTAACATTAATAATTAGAAAATTTCTCATGCGATTATTTGTACAATGCAATTTTTTTATGTACCCACATTAGACTGGACCAAAAAAATAAAACAATTTTTTTTTTCTTAGCGGAACTATGAAAATATTGTTCATGACGACAAAAAAAAAATTCCTGAAAGTTTGAGCCCTTAATAATAATATTAAGAGGTGCATCATTGCAGTTATTGATTTTTCAACAGTTGTCGCGTTTTTGCATAAATTTCGGACTTGGTCAATTTTAAAAAATTTTTTCATCTCTTATCCTTGTAGGAAATTAAATTCCCCACAAAAAAGCTCTCTTAGTAAATTTTTGTAAGACGAGTCTATTCTTTGTAATCGAGCTAATAAACGGTTAAATACTTTAAAAATTAAATTTAACATCAAATAACTTTGAAAGGAGTGAGTTTATCGAAAAATGTTAAGAGAACTTTTTTGTAGAGCATTAAATTTCCCTGAAGAATAATAACTGGTCTTAAAAAAATATTAATATTTAAGTTCATTTTGGAAATCCCAAATGCAAAGTGAAAAATTGAAAATATATATCAATGTTTAAGACTCGATTACAAAGAATAGACTCGTCTTACGAAAATTTACTAAGAGAGCTTTTTTGTGGGGAATTTAATTTCCTACAAGGATAAGAGATTAAAAAAATTTTTAAAATTGACCAAGTCCGAAATTTATGTAAAAACGCGACAACTGTTGAAAAATCAATAACTGCAATGATGCACCTCTTAATATTATTATTAAGGGCTCAAACTTTCAGGAAATTTTTTTTTTGTCGTCATGAACAATATTTTCATAGTTCCGCTAAGAAAAAAAATTGTTTTATTTTTTTGGCCCAGTCTAACCCACATGTATATTTTCTATACAAACTACAGAATGGATATATGATGCCAGATGCCATAATATCCACTCTTGTTGCTCAAACTACTATTCTAACAACAGTACCTACAGTTATTTTAAATTTTTTATCGATCAATACCACCTATACCTATACATTTTTTTATTTCAGATTTCATCCAAGATTAGGGGAGAATGTTATGGTCAATTAATAATGGTCCAAATGTTAAATTTGTTGTTAATTTTATAATTGTGTTGTATTATACATTGTTGTAATTATTTATTACGCAGCTTTAGTTCTTGCTAGCGAACTTCACAAGAGTGAATTTAAAAACAATATGTTGCGTTTAACTGAATGATTTATAAAACAAATGATTACGAAAAAATGTTTCAATATTATCAGTTACCTAATAAAATATTAATTATAAAGGATTGTTTAGGATTACAACTAAAAATACAAAATATGAAAAATTAAAATAATATTTCCAGACGAATCTAAATAGAAAAAAGGAAGGTACCATATTTTATATAAAACTGGTTTATTTCTGTTACATCTACCTCTTGTTATAGGCTTCGCCTCTATGTGCTGTGAATTCACAATTAATTGAATATATTTCGAAAAAAATGTTCCTAAATTAGAATTGTTGCACATAATACCTATAAAACAAGCTTTTAATATAAATGTCTAAATAAATGCTTATATTAGAAAAATATGACTGTTTAACTATATATTAATGTTTGTTAATAGCTATAAAAATATAATGGTTGAAGGTTTTAACTTTTACATTATTTCAAAGATATGTCCCTAAATTTAATTTCATACTTATATCAAAATATTAATTTTAAATCGGTGCTAATTAAGTCTGAAATATTGAAGAATAATCCAAAACTATGAATGTATAAATAAATAAATAAGTAGGTTTGTAAAATGGATACAAAACCAATTAAATTAAAGCATTTACAACAATGTAAAAGAAAGTTATAATGATAGTAAGTACTAGGTACCTATGTATAATAAATTCTTGTGCACTAAAAGGTATACCTAGTTTTGATTTATTTTTTATACACCTGTATATCTCCATTTAAATGATAACTATTAAATGCACACGATACCAAGCTGAAAAACTGAATTGTTATCAGTATTTTTGTAATGTGATTATGTAAATTTGCTATTTTGCTATGCATATTTTTTTAAATAGTACTTTTTGTAATATTTTATATATATTCTCATCTGTATATCCTATATGTATGTATAGCTTGCAAAAATAAAATTTTATGGAAAAATTAATTGGGTTTTTTTTTTATATAATAATCAAGGGTAATATGCCAAGACCTCGACAGTAGTCAGCTAGTCTGATTAGAGCCAGAGAGCATTAGCTCGAGAGCTTCAATTGATTATTAATGCTAAAATTATGTCGGATCAAATTGAAAAATATTCGAGTAATTTAGTAACAACAAAAATAGCAGAATATTAATCAAGGTCGTGTTATATATTTGGGAGGACTATTTCACTATACCAAATATTGACTATTTCTCTAGAGAAATAGTCGCTGATATTTGATCCAGGGAAATAGTCATAATAATTATGTAATAATCTCTTAATTTGTAGCTGTTATTTTGCAATATTGCACGAATAATAGTGTGGCCATACTATGCTCCGACCGCCTATTATTACGCTGTCTACATTCCAAGTGCCCTACCCAATTGGTAGGCTAATTGAGAAGAGGTGTCCATTGAAAATAAACGGTCCTATATTCTGTGGAAATTTAAGTTTAAATTGGCAAATAAATAGTTTATCCACTGTGGTATCGAGCTAGTTTATTTTATAAAGGTAAAGACTGTAGATAGTTACCTTTGGGCTAGACCAATACTGTTAATAAGAAAATAAATGACCTTGAAAAAAAATGCTAACTTCATGCCTAATAGAAAAATGACTGGCAACATTGCGGATTGCAAGTTGTCCAACATAAATTTAACATCTAACTATCTGATGTTAACTAATGTATTTAGATAAAGAGATCTTATTATTTAGGAATTTAAACACGTCAGTCACTTTTGACGCTTTTGACATTTAAATTGACAAATATATATATAAACATGTCGGATTGTAAATATCAGAGTGATAAAAATTTCCATAGATAGTAGAGTGCGATTTTTTTTATAAAAGTAATGTTAAATTTTTTAAGTAATCAAAGTTGACGAACTTTGTAATTTTAAAGTTGTCATATTCTGTATAAAAATGGTTACGGAAGCGTTTATAAAATCGGAATATCCCTTGCATTGGTGTGTGTGGAAAAACGAATATCAAAATTTGGGGCAACTTTTAACTTCCAAAGAGGTAATAAAATTGCAGCATTATTGATTGTTAATTAACATAGTTCAACGTTTAAATTATTTTTATATCTAGCATGATAAGGAAAAAATGGATGTAAGAGGTAGGACTCCTTTGATGTTAGCAGTGACATTGGGTCATTTAGAATCAACTAGGACACTGTTAAATCACGAGGCCAACGTTAATTGTGAAAATTTAAATGGGTGGACAGGTTAGTGTGTTAATTCCTCTGTTAATTCAATTATATTTATGGTCCTTGTAACTTTATTGGATCAGTTTAAGAAATTAATTTTGGCTTCTTTAAGATTATATTTCTTAATAGAAATATAGGTTTTCTAATTTTTAAGAGATTAAGAAGCTTTTTATTTTTACTCACCTTTTTTGGAGTATTTATACAGGAATGTTTATTATACTTCTTTAAGAATAGGCATAAATTTAATATATTTTAACCCCAGAATAGATTTATGCACCACAAAAAAATCACTGCTACAACTGCCCTATACATAGATTAACTCTTACTGAAAAAAGTGTAAGGTATAAGCAGGGGCGGCTCGTGACCAACATTTTTGGGGGATTCACAGTAGCAGAATATTGCTCTCAGTACAGATGTAGGTAAAAAATTGTTAGTGTTTTACAATGGTATATTATAAACTTTCTAAAACACTGATAGTTTTTTTCATACATCTGTACTGATATCTATATTGTCACTGTGAACCCCCAAAATTTTGGCCACGAGCCGCCACTGGGTATAAAATTAATAAATATCCTTCTGAAGTGAAGTTAATAAACAAGTTTGTCAGTGTTTAAAAAAAGGCCTTTTCAATTTTTATACCAATTGAGCCTTACTCTGTTAGTGATTATATTGAATATCCAATGTAAATATCAGATAGTGGTAATATACTCTTCTTTAGGGTGACAATTATTCCATTTAATTTACTTTATGTACAAGTATGTATGTATATATATCGAGGTATAGGTACATACCTAGTAACTTTCTTGAAAAAAAATATATTATTATTATTATTATTACCTATATAAAAATTATTAACTGTTAAATGTATATAATTTAAATAACTATATCAAGCAGTTTTTTTATGAAAACTGAAAATATTTTCAAGAACACATTTTTTCTTTGTTTTTGAGATGATGACCAATATTTCTTTTGTATTCATCACATCAATATTTTATTTAGTCAGGCAAATATTTTTCTGATAATAATGTTTATTTTCTCATATCTAATGTTAACATTAGTAATATAAAAAATTATAGTCTGGAATCATTGGTTCTTTCAAACTAGTTACAAACACTTGATTACACCAAAACTAACACTTAATGCTTGGCATATTTTGCTGACTTCAACTAAATTACAAGGGAGTGTGTGACTTAGTGGTTAGAGTCTGGACTTGTGAATCCAACGGTTCGCGGTTAGAATCCCACCAATGACCAGGATTTTTTTATTTAATTTAATTATTTAAAAATAATTCTGATGCCTAGGCAGGATTCCCACTTGGATCATTCACTGTAGGGTAATAATTAGCAGTGCTGTTCCTGAAGTGGCACTGGGAAACAGTAACAAAGCTTGCAAATAACACACATGAATAAAAAATCAAACACAAACTGAGACTGATAGATTAGCTATATATACATAAGCCATAAACTGAAAAAAATTAAATAACTTAGCAAAATACATCTTGTTTTAATTATCTTTAACTTAAAGAGAGTCTAAAATCTATTATAACTTCTAACAAATAAATATATTCCTTTAAAGTTAAGTTTAATAATTTTAGTTGTACAAGAAGCAGTAGCAACTGGTGATCCAGAATTGGTACAAATCGTTTTGGAAAGCAGGGATTTCCAAAGATACACCAATAGAATGGCAGGCATACCAGGGTTGTTACAGAAACTCAAAGAAGCCCCAGATTTCTATGTTGAAATGAAATGGGAGTTTACCAGTTGGGGTAATTAAAAATCTCTTCGTTTTTTTTTTTATTTTTTGGTTCAATTTGACATTTTTAGTTCCATTGGTATCACGAATGTGTCCAAGTGATACATATAAAGTATACAAACAAGGCTCAAGTGTTAGAATAGACACTACATTATTAGGTTTTGACCACACTAGTTGGCAAAGAGGAAATAGGAGTTACGTTTTTCAGGGACAAAGTAAGTACAAAATAATACTTTGGTAATATTGAAAATCTCAATAAACAGGATTAGTCTGATGTCACAATTTAGGTAACTATTACTACTGTGGTAGAAATAATTTGTATTGTTAATAATTAAATAAATGAAGCCTGTTACTTTCTAAAGACATACAAACTGTAAATAATTTAAAAGTTTTACCATAAAATTGGTAGATTTGGCAGTTAAATATAAGCTAAACCTTTTCTGACAGAAATAGTGTTTCAAGATTATCTAAGTGGTATAACACTAAACAAAGAGGGAATGAATTGAGTTTAAACTGGCCCCGTTTATTTACATGGCATTCGTTATTATCAAGTTTAAGGGCAAAATGTTGAGTATTTGAATAGATAAATTTTGTCAACATAATGAAGATAATGTGTCATTAGTTTAACCAAAATATATTAACATAATTTTATGTACTCATGAAATCTATTTCTCATTTCATTCTGGACTTGCTCCAAATATAAATTTGCAAATAGCAAAATTGATGTATCTATTTTTGGGAATACAACCTACCACAGCTAGGTAGGATACTTATTGTAATCAGGGCAAATCGCCCTGGAAAGGAGGATAGTTCCTATAGCATGATGCTAGAAAAATTGTATGCCCTAGTAAATGTAAATGGAAACTTTTAAGAAGATATAAATAATCTAAAAAAAAGAAATTAACAGTTTTTATTGAGTTTTATGCACAATGCCAATGAGGTTAAAAATTAAATGTGACATTAGTTTATATTCTATATTTGTGATGACGTAATTTGTGTTCCATAGACAATATCAGTGACTGTAAACTCATTATAGGTATTCATTAATATTTTATTTCTATTTCAAGATTATTTTCATTTGAACATTAAAAATAATTTGGTTACATACCTTTAAACTACTTTTTATTACCTGCAAACAATATTAAAAAAAACTAAAAGAGTATGTCATATTTGATGGTAGAATGATAGTTTTTATAAAAAGTTAACTGCCAGTGGAACACAAATTATATCACACTAATATAGCATACTGCAGGTCATAAAAAAAAACATTTATTTAATTAAATTTTTTAAACTGTGTTCAGCAATTCAAATTTGTACTCCAATAAGAGGTCAAAGAAGCTACATTTTCAATTTGAAAACCTTTTCAAAACCTGGTAATTATTTGTAATAAAACACTTAAATTTCAAACTTTTTATGCTATATCCTTGCTTTTCCAGTAGTAGTTGTATAAACTGCCAGCTATTCAGTTTAATAAAATGTTTACCAACTCTAATACAGTCGTACCCAATTAAATGCTAATATAGATAAATGTATTTCTAATTTGGACCCTGATATATTAAAGCTATACCAAAAGTCAGGGCAGTTTGAAATTTTGCAAATATTATTTTCTGGTTCTGTCATGAACTTGTGTTGAATGAAATAGCGCGTATCGAAAGAGTTCCTGGACAAAATCGCGGGGTGTTCAGCAATTTTTTTTTTTTTACATAAAATTTAAAAAAATACATAAAATGAAAAAATTAAAAAAAGAACTTAAGAAATATACCTAACTTGTACCATTAACCATTTATATTTAACCGATCGCTCATGCACAAGTTTAGTATATTAGATAACTTTTTTTAAATTTTCTCAGTTTATGTATATTTTTTGCGAAGCAACCAGTGATGGCTCCAGGCGCTGTTACTCAGTATGAACTTAATATTCTTATTCAAAAATTAGAAAATGTTAATGGGTTCAATACTATCATTTGAGGTAGACTTACTATCAGTGACGTCATCACCGGCGCTGGTTATCGCACTAAAAAAAAGGTCAATTAGTAGGGATGAAAGTTAGTGTGATACACCTTTTAATTTGAAATAAAAATCCATTCATTTGAGCTAACTGTCATCCCCCTTATTCATTTCACTTTTTTCAATTCGTGACAGCTCCAGTGACGACGTCACTGATCTCAAGTATACCTCAAATGATAGTAGTCCCATTTTCCATTTTTCGAACAAAAATATTCCCGATTCTCTAAAAAAAATCGTGTTCTTAAGGTAAATGAGATTTTAATTAAAAAAAAAACATTCGCCATATTCGTCAAAATTAGCTCCAACAATAAATCTTTCAGCTGACTTTTTTTAGTTTCTATGTCATTTATGGTGTACTTTTTATAGGCAGGAGGACTAAAGTTCAATATTTTAGTTTTACTTCAATTTAAATATATTTTCTTGCCATCAAGCTAAAAAAATTTTGCTTCACTGATTGCATCGAAATATAAACAATATGATATAATCAATTATGTATTTATTGATTTACATTCTCAAAAAAAAAAATGACATTCAGAGTAGCATTAAAATGGAGTATGACATAATTTATTATTTGTTACCATAAGCTATATTTGTTACAGTAATTTAGATGCTATTATTTTCTTATATGCAGGGTGTGAAGTATAATACCCATTAAATTGATACATGTTAAAAGCACAAAAGTGATTATACCTGTGTCCTAAAGCCTAAGGTTAAGACTACAAACAAAGTAAGGAGGATGGGTTATCCCCACACCACTTAAGCCTCACTAGGTCCATTGTGCATCTTACTGAATTGATAAAGCCTCTCTTACCTCGCCAGTCAGCCTGCAGATTTAATGTAGTTGACAACGTCGCCGTTATGTTGCGTCGGTGAAAATACATCCTCTAATAGAGGATGTAGAATCATCTTCTTGTTTGCAACACCCCCTGCAAAGTGCAGAGTGGAACAACCACATGCTGTGGAGATGCTTCCGTATTTGGCAATAACCACTAAAATTGCATGTGATAGTTATTAAGTATTTATTTTCTGTAGTGTTGTCAGGGTAACCTAAAAGTTTCCTAGCAACTCTGCAGCTTGGTGTTTCATTCCACCTTTGCTTGTATTTCACAAGGGAATGTCCTTTAATTAGGGCCAGATCCAAAAAGTATTTAATTGGCTGCCTTCTTCGCTAGTGAATCGACAAGACAGTGAGATTTTGATATGGCATGGCTTTCGATCCATCTTAAGGTAACCACATTATTGACGGATATTTTTACCTGGGATTGGTCACGTTCTAGTACTAACCCTGAGTAAATGCATGGTCTGTTTAGGGTGAGTAGTGCTTGTCTGATATCTGCATAGATGAGCATGTTACTTCCAGTGTTATTGTTTCTGATTATTCATTCTGCTGCTATGAGAATACCCATGAGCTCAACACTGACACTATTGCTCACAGCCCATTTCATGTTTATGTTTAAGGATCTGGAGTACATTACATATCCTAAGCCTTGTTTTGTTTTGGAACCATCGGTGTAAATATGAATTATACCTGCCACTTCTGGCTCTACTATATTTACCATATATCCACCACAATTTATGAAAGATATATCATGGCGAGGTGAAGTGTATGTTCACTTGAACCAATGGAAACTTATCAAGTGCCTCGCCTCACCAGATCCTATCTTAGGAAGGAATTTTATATTTTTAGACAATTTTCACATTTAGTAGTGCAACCAGGTTTCGTCACCTGTTACAATGCTACTGACAGCCAGAGAAGTCTTGTCGTGATATTCTTCTAGCATTTTTTTGGCCATGTGTCAGTTGGTGCGAAACCCACAGTGAACAAAGTAGTTTTGGAACTTATATTCATGAAGAATATCATGAACCCATTGTACATGAATGCCTAAAGTATTCTATATAATGTTATATGAAATGTAGCTGTCATTATTTGCAAATTTTTCAACGGCTGCCACATTTTCCTGAGTAAGTGCAGATTTTGGGCGGGCCACTCTTCATCAATTAAATTTGCAGCCCCCATGTAAGAATGCTATAATATCAAAAATGGTACTGAATAGAAATTATATTAGAAGTAAATTATTTTTATTATTTGAGTTTTATTACTAGGCTAGTTCAATATTTAAGCAGCAAATGCCATGAGATTAATTACATACTATTTTAGATGATGGTGCTATAATGATGGAAATTGACCATGATCTCCAACAGGTTTACTGTGAACAGATGAGGACCACAGAAGATTCTCTTAATATTTTAATGCCAAATGAAGAGACTATTTCTCAGCGATTAACAACGCCTATCGTTACCACTTATATTGATACAGAAAAAATTAGTTTTGAAAGGTGTAATATTGACCTGTGTGTTATTGTATATGATTTGTAAAATACTTTTTTTTAGAAATAAGGCTGGTATGTGGGGTTGGAGATCAGACAAGACTGAAATTGTGAATAATTATGATTGTAAAGTATTTAGTGCATCCAATGTAGAACTAGTAACAAAATCCAGAACGGAACACCTTACCGAGACTGACAAAGCACGTAGTAAAAACAATAAGAATCCGATACAAAATTTCCTTGGCATTGCAGAAGTGACTGAAAGTCAAGCTACCTCACTTCTTTCAAATGTAAGTACCAATATTAATCCTAATTGATTAGGCTTTTTAAAATAAAAAAAATTATATATTTTTAGGAAGAATATACGAATTCCAGTAATCCCTGCAATATAACTCCTGAAGAGTATTTTGACAGAGATATAGATCTCGAAGCACAGAAACGTGATATAGGTCGACCAAAAGAAGTTAGCGTTAAAGTACAGAAATTCAAGGCCAATTTATGGCTTTGTGAAAACTATCCTCTATCGCTTCCAGAACAAATTCTTCCTATTGTCGATCTCATGGCCATATCTAGCTCTCATTTTGCTAAACTTAAAGATTTCATACAGATGCAGTTACCGTCTGGGTTTCCCGTTAAAATTGGTAAGGGTATTTATCAAAAAATATTTAGTAACTTAATATCAACTGGTTATACAGGGTGTTACTTAATGGTAAGCCGTAATTCCAAGGGCGCATTCCTGAACCAAGTTCAAGTAGAAAAGTTCATATAAAAAACATGTCCTAAAAAGTTTGGTTTTCAAGATACAGTGTGTCAAAGTTTAAAAAAAAATAGGTTTTTTATTAATATCTCGAAGATCCTCTTGTCGATTTTGTTGAAATTTGGCAGTGTTCTTCATTGTGATAAAACGCTAAATTACCACTAATTAGATGATACTTATGAGTTCCAGTGGCGTCGTGGGGGGCGGTATTATGTATAATATAATATTTGATTACATCATTACCAACACAATCATCCAAAGACCAACGACTATTACAGATTTAGGTGTTACGTTTGATAGAGAATGACCTTTTGGTCCGCATATAAATACTGTTATATCCGCTGCTTCTCGTCTTTACGGATTTGTTGTACGAGCTAGTCGAGACTTAACCAATCCGTCTACACTCACCACCCTCTACTATGCATTCGTAAGGTCAAAACTTGAGTATGCATCTATAGTTTGGAATCCATTTTATCAAATTCATGTTAACAACTTAGAACAAGTCCAAAGACGATTTTTAAAACTGTTAAGTTTCAAAATTGATGGTGTCTACCCTGCAATCGGAACGCCTCATAATTCTCTTTTGCAAAGACACGCAGTTAATAGCTTGTCAGCTCGCCGTTCTTGTAACTCTGTGCTGTTTTTATTTAAGTTACTGACTGATAAAATTGATGATTCCGCCATATTAGAAAGGATTAACTTTCATGTTCCTCGATTTTCGGCAATGTCTGTTTTAGATTTTAAATATTATACCGTATCAAGACAAGGCACGTAGTTACTCTTCGCCCAAATAAGAATAACTGCTTGGACATGTCAAACGGAATACGTCTATATTATCTAGTGCCATATATGCACAGTGGCGCGCTAACACGGCCATCCTGAAATTGGGACGCTCTCGGCCCAATAATAATTATAACTCGATTTATAAGAATAATATTAGCTTTATTCCTAAAACATTTACAATAACGTAACTATAATAACTTATTAAGACGACTCGGCTTCATCCTGACGATTATCGTTCTGAAACAAAAGAAATCCCTATCAACAGAGGTTTTCTTTGTAGAAATATAAAATTCCTCATGACACTTCAAGGTTAAAATAACCGACCAGCAAATCATAATGTGACATTAAGGTCCAAGCACTCCAAGGCAGAAACGTTGCCGGCCCGAAAACCAAAATGTACATCAAGATCCAGGTACCCCAAGGTTAAAATAACCCGTCATATTTCTTTGCAATCAACACACAACCATAATATATCATTAAGGTCCAAGCACCCCAAGGCATAAACGTTGCCGGCCAGAAAACCAAAATGTATATTAAGGTCAAATTACTATGAACATCTGAAACTAGATAGTCGATCAGAAAACCAAAATGTTAACATCAAGGTCCAAGCACCCCAAGGCATAATCGTTGCCGAAAATAAAAAAAAAAAAAAAAAAAAAAGGAAAGCAAACTCTATATTTTTAACTGCACAAAAACACCACTGTTCACAAAAAAAGTAAGTGTTTGAGCGAAAATATTTTTTAGACTACCTAATCGACAACCGATATAAAAAAATGACAATGACTTAATTCATGTTTGAAAGCGGCATCAAATCAAACAAAAATAAATAAATAATAAAAATAAATAAAAGACGCTGAAATACATTAGCTATTGACAAAATATACTTAGCTGAATATCTTCTTATAACGTGAAATCAAATAGTCCCATCTTTAAAAACACAACTCTGCCATTTTTCTTTGACGGTCAACTTTTATCTTCATGATATTATAAACAATTTTTAGTCGCGACGGCTCGAGCAGTATAATAAATTTTTAGACGTCGATTTTAAATAATGGATTCTTTGTATCCCACTTTCTGATTTTAGATTTTAAATATTATACCGTATCAAGACAAGGCACGTAGTTACTCTTCGCCCGAATAAGAATAACTGCTTGGACATGTCAAACGGAATACGTCTATATTATCTAGTGCCATATATGCACAGTGGCGCGCTAACAGTCTGCATGCACTTTTTACCTTCCAGTGCCTAGAACAAATGTTTTAAAAAGCTGTCCCATTTATGTAATGTGTGAATGTTCTAACGAAATGTGCAGTAATTTAGACATCTTTAATTGAACTGTAAGTAAAATTAAGAATCATCTTCTCTTATACTAGGTTGTAACTCTTGTTCTTATTGTAACCTACTTACTTTTGAATTTTTGTTGTTCAGATTGTAAATATTTTTTTTTTGTAATCCTGTTCTTTAATTAGGTTTCCTGTTGAACAGTGTATTAAATAAATAAATAAATAAAAAAATAATATTGACAAAAAAAATGTTCGCCACTGACTTTTTAAAAAAAAATTATTTATTTATTTTTTCGATTAAGCAGCTAAAAATACAACTTTTTGGTTTCTTGATATTTTTTCGTATCTTCGTTTTTGAGGAAAAATAATAGGTAAATAATTATTCTAATTTGGAGATGCTACAAATGCATTTCCTTTATGGTTTGGCCGATAGTATCCTGATCGTGTCCTCGAGACGTTAAGTTAACACTAATTAGATGATAATTATGAGTTTCAGTTGCGTCGCGGGGGGGCAGTATTATGTATAATATTGACCAAAAAAAAATTGTACGCCACTGACTTTTAAAAAAAATATATTTATTTCTTTTTTCGATTAAACATCTCAAAATACAACTTTTTTTCTTGATAGTTTTTCGTATCTTCGTTTTTGAGGAAAAATAATAGGTAAATAATTATTTTAATTTGGAGATGACACAAATGCATTTCCTTTATGGTCTTGCCAATGGTATCCTGATCGTGTCCTTCCAGGTAGAAAAATATTCAAACATTCATCGTCGTCTGACTAAAATTGGCAGTTTTAAATGTAGTACCAAAGAGTACAAAATATAACTATAAAAGAGAAGTCACTCGCGGCATTTACAAAGGAAATCGCGCTTCAAATGCGGGCCGACAAGTCGGCGTTTTTTCAGAGAGTACAGAGCTAATTGGGCTATACCGGGGTCAAGCGGTAAGACGCGGCGGCGATGATAGTGGAATGTAACGGCCAATACACAGCGGAATGTAGCGGAGCAAACGAGCCTTACGCGTTGAACTACACCGGTATACTGCCGATCGAGAAAGGACTGGAGGACTGGCGGCTGATCGCGTTAGAAGGCGGTAATTGGGCGAGTGACTCCTCTTTTATAGTTATATTTTGTACTCTTTGGTAGTACCTCCGGAGGAAGACCTCGTACAATTCGATCTGCGGCAGTTGAAGAGGCTGTTCTACTTAGGGTCGAAGAGAATTCAGCAACTAGTACGCGAAAAATTGGTAGGGAATTAATTATTTGCTATAAAATTGTATGGGAAATTTTAAGAGATTCTTTGTTGTATCCTTACCTTGTACAACGAGTTCAGGCACTTCTTCCAAGAGATTTTGAACCGCGTACGCAATTTTGTAGATGGTACCTTCAAAGACTTGCAGAAAATCCTCACTTTGATTCCATTATTATGTTTACGGACAAAGCGCATTTTTCCAGAAATGTAATAATTAATTTCCATAATGATCATATCTTCATGCTATTACAGACTCATTTTCAAGAACAATTTTCTTTCAATGTTTGGATCGGTATCATAGGTGACTATTTGATTGGACAGTTTTTTTACCAGGACGACTTAACAAACAGTTTTACATTAATTTTCTACAAAATTATTTGCCTCTATTTCTTGAAGATGTTCCTCTTCAGATATGGCAACAACATTGGTTCATGCATAATGGTGCTCCAGTCCACTTTAGCATATTGAGTCATGAATATTTGAATGGAACTTACCAAAATCATTGGATAGGTAGTGGAGGTCCACAATTCTGGCCACCTAGATCACCCGACTTGAACAGTCTAGATTTGTTGTTATCGGGGCGCCTAAAATCATTAGTTTATGTTACACCAATCGAGACGGTAGAACAACTAAGAAATTGAATTGTTGATGGATGTAAAACCATACATAACACTCATGGAAATTTCGAAAGAGTTTGTCACTCGATAAGAAGAGTAGAAGCCTGCATAGAAGAGGGAGGTGGTCATTTCCAACATTTGTTATTAATATTTTGTTAAATTGCTATTATTTTTGATTTATTTATTTATTTAAACGGGATCAACCCCATTACAAAGCAAAACATATAAATGATACAAATAATTGTAAATAAAAAAATACAAGAAAAAAAAAGTTAAAATTATAATTAAATAAAAGTCAAATAACTTTTAGATTAACAGATGTATTTTAAGTAGTGTAAATCCGTCTGTAATATTTCATTTTTACTCCAGTGTGTCCGTACAGATTGCCTTAAATTTATTAAAAGAAATGCCTCCTGTAACCTCAAGATTCAGTCGATTTATTACTACCCTCAATGTTCTTTCAATAGGTAAATGCATGCCATAGTTTGTATTGTGAAATTGAACATATTTAATTGCCTAACGACTCTATTAGGAATATTGAAAGAAATCTGATATGTCTCCTGTTCTTAAGTCATATTCATTTCATTTAAAATCTTACTATAATTATGATCGGTTACCTAAATATTTAATTTGAAGGCACAGTATCTTAGAAATTTATGTTGTATTATTTCCACTGCTAGACAGTGTATGTGATATTGTGGCGACCAAATTATAGAAGCATACCCCAACTGAGGTACAACCAATTTTTGATAAACTCTTCTAGAGAGAAATCAGAATTTATATGTTCAATAAATCTTAATTGTTTATCTAAAATAACTCCTAAATCTTTGACTGAGTTACCTCGAGATAGTGGCTTTATCATTAATGTAATATTGTGAGTTGCACTTTTTGTTCCCTTTTAAAAAATGTCTCATATTTGCAATCAAAGTTAACTTAATTTTATTTT